TAATAGAAAATATGAATGAAATAGATAATGTAACCAGCTTTAACAGATCATTTGTTACATGAGATAATTATAAATTACAGGTAAAAATAGAGAACAGCATCTCACAGTAATATGAACTCAAGCAATATCTAATTTTAATGTGCAAGTTCTTAATGTGTTATATTTTAGTTCTGCATGTTCAATTCTGTCTTGAAACAGCATTATATAAATAATTTGGAAGATACCAAATAAGAAATTATTTGACATTTATTATAAATAGTAATGAATACTTATGTGCTGATAATGATTCAAGTAGTTATTATTACGAATTAACATGGACTAATATTAAAACAAATTTAAATGTGTTAAGTATATGGTTTCCTGTGGCCTTCAGGATAAGGAGATAACGAATAGAGATAATCTGTTCTTAAGAATTCTACAGTCTAGTCGGCAAACAAGACACAGGAATAAATAATTTACAAAGATCCGGAAGGACCACAGCCACTATGATGCTAGTCCACCACTCAGTGATGGTATCAACAAAAGTATGTTAGAGAATCATACAAATAAAACATTCATTCTTTTTGGCCTAAATATCACATTGCATGATTGATACAGAAAAGTACATTGAGTGTGCACACAGAATAGGTTGTAATCTTCCTTTAAGCTTTACTCTCATCTCCTTATTCTATTTAACATAATTTGTTGTTGTTAAAGGTAAGATTTGTGTTTTATTCAATAGTTTTCAACAATTAAAAAAATAAAAACCAATACAATAAAGCAATATAAGCCTTGCAAATGAGCACCATCTTAAAACTCAAACAAATATATTTTTATTATCCAAAAGAATTTTAAAATTTAAATATATTTGATCACATTCTTCCACACCGCCCAAGTCCTTTCCCACTCCCTACCCACACTAATTTGTTTTTTCCTCAATAAAGAACAATAACAACAACAAACCAATATAATGACAAACCTCCCCAAACCAAGAAAACAAAATAAAATCATGTACCTCCTCAATAAAACCACCAATCTGTAACCAAATAAAAGCACACACACACACACAAAATCTCTGGAGTCCAATATATGTTGGTCAACTACTCTTGAACATGAGGCCTGTCCTGGAGGGGTTGATATACTCCATGTCACTCTATTGGAGAAAGCTGATTTTCCCTCTCCCAGCAGGAATAAGTGACGGTTCCATTGTTAACTTTTACCCTGTTTGCTAGGTTGACATTTATTCATTATTTTTTTAAAAATATGTAACAAAATAAATAATATATAGTAAGATAAAACAAAAGCTGTAACATCAAAGTAGGACAGGACAAACCAACAGAAGGAAAAGAGCCCAGGAGAAGGAACAAGAATCAGAGACCCATTCATTTACACACTTGGGCATCCCATAAAAATACTAAATTTGAAGCCATAATGTATATGCACTGGACCAGGCACATTTTGTGCTTATTTTTTATGCTTATTGGATTTAGAGCCAGAAATTACTTAACTATATATTTGTTATTATAAGCCATAAACCACACTTTCTTTCATATTAAATTACATTTGTAGTAATTAACACCATGCCTTAAATTTATGAATTAAAAATTATTCAACAAGCTAAGTAAATAAACAGCTTCCAAATGACTGTAAAACAATCAAACCGCCTGAGTTAAAATTAGTGTACACAGAAGTGGTTGTCATGATTTTATATTATAGGGAATGGGAGAATGTTTATGGAAGCTGGTGAAATGAAAAGGTCTGGAACTTAATTGGTTCCAGTTGTCATGACAACAAGGGAGTGGGGGAAATCTCACATGACCACACACACAGATAAAGAGTTACAGCAATTTTCTGTTCTATTGCTGTGAAGAAATCTCGTGGCCAAAAAGCTTAAAGAAGCAAGGATTTATCTGTGGAGTTTTGTTAGAGTTCCAGAGGTTTAATCTTTCCTCATCATGGTCAGTAATGTGACATCAGGCAGGCAGGCAGGCCCCTTGGGCAGTAGCAGAGAGCTACATCCTATTACACAGGCAAGGGCAGGGAGAGTGAGACTAGGCCAGACATTGGCTTGTGAAACCTAAAGTGCATTCCCAGTGACACATCTCCTCCAACTAGACCATATCTCTTTCAGAAAGATCATGGCTCATAATCCTTCCTAAACGGTCCACCAACAGGGATCCAAATATTCAAGTATATGACCCTATCTTTGCCATTCACATTCAGTTCATGACAGCTATCCAACCCTAACTGGTTAGTCCTAAACACATACACACATGAGTAACACTGAATAGACTCACCATGTTGTTTGTATATATGCATACATATATATATATATATATATATATATATATATATATATATATATATGATACATAGCATACATGTATGTATATATAACAGCAATTAAAGAAGTCAGTCATCTGAAAGCTGTTGGGAGAGAGAACAGGAAAAACTAAGGAGAGAGAGGGAATGTTTGGAAAACGAAATAAAGAGTATTCATCTGTGAAATTCCTGAAATAATTTTAAATTAAAACAAGCATTAATAAAACAATATTATCAAACTTATTTTAAAAAGGAAGTGAGGATCTTGGAATGAAAATGGGTCTTGAGAGATAAAACTCAAACCTGTGTAATAACAAAAGAACATAGAACAGAGTAGGGGAGTTTAAGATATTTAGGAGCTAAGGACTTGTATCTGGGCATACCTCTCCTCCTTCCCAGACAGCTCAATGTTGGAAGCTTTTCTTCTCCTTTGCATGAGAAGGAAAAATGGATTTGAGTATGTGAGGGGCAGATTACACAGAAGTATCTATTGAGCCACTATTCCTCAAAGCTGGATTTCAAAGTCATTTGTTGTTCTACTAAGATTGGTTGGTATAAACATTTTATATACTGGGCACAGACAACAAGAGATTGGTTATGAAAAGAATAGTGGGAGTTATCTCCCTCTAGAGTCTCATCCCTCAAGTTTCATCTCCAGGGAAATCAACAACCAGAATTAACATATATTTCCCAGTGGTTCTTCAGTGTGTAATGTAGTCCAGTGGCAGGATTTTTTTAAAATATAGGTTTCATAAAGTCTGTAAGAAACACTAAACTATTCCTGAAACTTCAAAGATATACACTAAAGGGATTTTCTAAAAATATTGTCTTCAAAAGGAAAAAAAATTAAATATCAAGGAAAGCAACTGAAACTTTTTGTTCTTGGTAACTCATTGACAAATGATAGCATGAGGGAGCCGAAAAATCAGCTTACTTGGAAGATTTTACCCAAGAATTTAATAAAATCCATTTTCTTCCCACCCAAGTTACAAAAATTTAGATATTTTAACCAATGCACACGAAGTGGCAAATAAGACTAATGAGGGAAAACCAGAAGAAGACTTGTGGACTAGGGTTCCAGGTAAGGCAGGTGCCATCAAGAGCTACTGCGTCTTACTAAAGAAACCGATCAGATCCTAAAAGGAGGAATATGGGTTCACCCCTCCCTGTTTTCAAGAACAACATTAAGAAGTTCTGAGGGCAGGTGGGGATGGGAACATGAGAGATCAGGGTGCAGGGAATGATGGGGAGTACTGAAAGAGATGACTGGAGGAGGAATGGCATTTGGGGTCAGGTGAAAACCTGGTACAAGAGAATCTCCCAGGAATCTACAAGAATGACTGCAGCTAAGACTGCCAGCAATAGTGGATGCGTAGCCTGAACTGGCCATCTCCTGTGATCAGAATGGTGCCTAGCCTAATTGTCATCAAAGGGGTTTCACCCAACAACTGATGGAAACAGATACAGCCCTGCAGCCAAACGTTAGGCCAGTTCAGGGACTCATACAGAAGAGGGGAGAAAGGATTGTTGGATGCAAAGGACTCAAGGACACCACAAGAAAACTCACAAAATCAGCTAACCTGAGCTAACAGGCTCACAGAGTCGGAACCAACATCCAGGGAGTCTGTGTGGGACTGAACTAGGCACTCTGCATATATGTTACAGCTATGTAGCTTGGTCCTCTTGTTGAACTCCTATCAGTGGGAACAGGGGCTGTCTCGGTATCTTTTACTAGTTTTTAGAACCCTACTCCTTATAATGGGTCGCTTTGTCCAGACTTAATACATGGGAAGGTGTTTAGTCTTACTACAACTTGATGTGCCATGTTTAGTTGATACTTATGGGACACCTGCCCTTTCTAAACAGAAACACAGGAGTGGATTGGGGGGTGGTAGGGAATGGAGGGGTCATGGGGGTGTAGGGACTGGGTGGAGAGGAGGGAGGGGAAACTGTGGCAGGGATACAAAATAATTAATTAGTTTGTGTTTTTGAAAAACAAGTTAATTGGGAAAGTAAAATAAAAGACATTTGGTATGCTCTCTGCTTGGTAAAATGTTTAGACTTGTCAGGAAATAAATTGAAGAAAGAAAAATTATATATCTCCAGCAAATACAAGCAATGCATTGCTTTCAGACCTGTTTATTCTTTTCATTACCATTCAAAATGTTTTTAACTTCTAGTGATTGAGAATGATTTTAGAGCTCATCCTGTGTTTCCATATTGCCTAATATAGTTGTACATACTTAGGAAGAATGGGATGTAATTTGTATGTTCTAAATGCTTATTTTAGTCACCTCAGATTAATACATGGAGGTTTGCTTCTTAATAAAATTAATAAAGAGCAGCTACATAAAGTATCAAAAACTGTATCAAAGTACTTAAATGATTTACTCATTGATAAGCATAATTGACCAAAAAACAAATTTAAAGGCCAGATAAATAATATGAATATGACCACCTAAAAGGACATGCTGAAGAATTTTTAAGATGGGTGAATGGACTCTGGGGCATCCCAGATAAGAGCGATTTTCAGGTTGAAGCTAAAAATACTCATCTGCCTGCCTTTATTTTATGTCTTTCAAATAATAATATACTGGCAATAACTTCTTGACTGGTGACACTCATGCTTATAGTCCTTTTCGGTACTCCAGAAAAAAATATTACTATGTTCAGAAGAAATTTCTCTTCCAGCAACTTCTTCAGGACAGCTTTCTCAGGCTATCAATCATAGTCTTCATCATGGGTACACAGATGCTATAAAACACAGATGACACTTTCCCTTGGTCTATGGAGATGATGGGAGATGGCTGCAGATACATGAAAAAAAAAAACCAGCGAGAGGCAAAATGTGGCACCTGCAGGTGCTGAAGGCTTTGGATCAGTCCTCCCTCGGTAAAATGACTGTGGAGAATGCTGACAATGATGAAGATATAAGAGTGAACAGTGGTCACATGTGGGACAATGCTATTAAATGCACTAGGTAGCACTAATAAATCACTGATAAAAGTAGTGTAGCAAGAGAGCTCCAGTAATGGAAAAAGATCACAGAAGAAATGGTTTATTATATCAGCCTTACAGAAAAGCATTCTTAGCAAAAAGACAGTATGAGCTGTGGCTCTAGGTAAGCCCATACTATACACTCCAGCAACCATCCAGGAAGAGACTTGATAAGATATGGTTGCATTGTAAAGCAAATGATTACAGATATGAGGAATTAATCCATAGTTGTGTATAGCCAAGAATTAAACAGAATCAAATTGATCATTCCCATGTTTGCCATCGTTCTAATCACATAGACTGTTAGGAAAACAAGGATCATGGGCAACTGGAGCTTTGAACCACCGCCTTCTTTTTTCAGATAATTTTCAATCCTAAAAAAAATGAGTTCTAAAAAGAAACCATCTCATAGTGGTTAACATATGTTTTACCTCTGCTTCAAGAATGTTCACTGATTCTACCCATTCCCACAAGTTCAGATATCTCTGATGCAAGTGATTTTATGTTATAAGAACATCTTGTGCCTTGATTGTAATATTTTCTCCATTGAAGCAAAAACTTTTTTTGTTAAAATGTAAACAGTATCCACAAGGAAAGAGTTTCCACTTAAGATAATGAACAGGACAGTTTTGTGTCTCTTCACTTTAGTTCTGTTATCCTAGAATTTTAGGTTGGGCAGTCAGAAAGCTAAATAAAATTTAAAGGCACTATATAGGAAACAAAAAGATAAACTACCTTTACTTATGAATAAATATAATAAATACAGTTAAGTCTATAGAAAAAATAGAATCTGCTAATAATATCTATTAGAAATAAATAATAAAAAGGAAATAATAGAATACAAGATTCTCACAATAACTCAATTGAATTTTCACAAACTTTACACAAACATGAAAGCTTTCTTTTTTCTGTGGGTCTGTGGTGTAATTTAAAGCCAGGCCTGGTAATCACTCTAGTATTTTTATTTTTATTAAGGATTGTTTTGGCTATTTGGGAATTTAGTTCTTCCCAATAAATTTTAAAATTTACTTCTATTTCTGTGACAAATGCCATGGTGATTGGTACTGCATTAAATCTGTAAATGTTTTTTGATAGGCTTCTCATTCACAAAATGAACTTTAGCAGTTCACGACCATCAAAGGTCTTCCAACTTGTAATGGTTTCTTTGATTTCTTTATTCATAGATTTAAATATTTCACTATAGAAATCTTTCACCTCCAGTGATGGAGATTGTTGTTTGATTTCTTTCTCTTTTTTTAAAGTTGTAGTGAATAGGAGTCTTTCCATAATTCATTTTCAGTGTGTTTCCTGGTATATTAAAATGTTTGAAATTTTGTTAGTTATTTTTTTATCCTGCCACTTTGTTTAGAATGTTCATCAATTCTAGAAACGTTCTTGTGGAGTGGTTATGACCTTTTTTGTATAATATCTTATTGTCTGCAAACAAAAATAAATTTTAGTTTTTTTCTACCTCTTTTACTTCCTTCGTGTCTTTAATTGCTCCAGCTAAGACCTGACAGAATACATTGCAAAGACTGGAGACAGTAGAGTGCCCCCCATCTTACTATTTTTCTTAAATACCTTTTTTTTGAGAGTTTCATACTATGGTACTACATTTACATCAATTTCAGTCTTCTCTCTCCACATGTCAACTCCTCCTATAGTCCTCCACTTCCTCTAAAATTTATGGCCTATTTTTTTAATTAATCAGGATACACTCACACAAACACATACATATGTGTGTATCCATACGTGTGTGTGTGTGTGTGTGTGTGTGTGTGTGTGTGTGTGTGTGTGTGTGTGTGTGTATGCACAGGTCTCAGGTCTCAGCAGTCAATTAGTCATTAATTACCTATAGCTTTTCATGTAGGTGTGAGGCCCTGTGAAATGTCCCTCACCCATATTGGCATGTAAGATGATGTTGTCACTGGGCAGTTCTGGTGTAGGTCACATGCTATCGAGATTTCACAGGTGCAGCTTCTCTGTTGAATATAGAAGACATTGTCATACAGCAAACATTCTGGTCCCCTGGCTCTTGCACTTTTTCTTTCCCTCCTTCTTCAGTGCTCTCTGAGTCATGAGTGTTGTAGACTTATCAGGTGAGGCTGGGCACCCTAGAGGAAGGAATTTTTAAGAAAATGGTTTTACAGTTCTTTAAATTGTGAAACATAGGTTTAACAAATAACCTAGAATCTTCAATGCTAGGTACATATGCACAAGAATGAAAGACATACAGAAATGAACACACACACACACACACACACGCGTGCACACACGCGCACACACACTCACAAAAAATTGTAAAGTTATGATCAAGGAAGAAATATTTGAAATAGTTACAGAAGAAACATACCAGCTGTCCATGTAGTGGTAAATACAAAGCTTTACTTCACATATCCCTGAAAAAGAGTGTTATGCTACAATGAGAAATGAAGTGCAGAGATATGCTACAGCCTGAAAGAACATGATCCATGCCAAGGAAAACAAATCACACAGAATGGGACACATATTGTAGGCTCCAATTAGATGAAGCATCTCTAACAAGAAAATCCATAGAAAAAGAAAGTAGCTAGTGCCTGCCAGCTGCTAAGGAAAATGGAGTTCTAGTGTACCACTGGTAATGGGTCCACCAGGGCTTTTCTTGAAATGGTGGTTAAAATATTCTACAATTAGAATATGGAGTTTGCTAATGAACATTATAGGTACACTAAAAATTAATGAATTGTGCACTTGAGAAATGATAATGTTTAATATATCAGTTTCACTTACATAAATGTGTTATATAATTAAAACTCCAACCAATTAATAATGATGCTACTCTTACTACATTAGAGTTTTCATCACAATATATTACACTGGAAGTCTCTAAAGAGCCTTTTAATAAAGTTTATGCCTGCTGTGTGCCTCTATATTTGTAACAAATATTAAGATTCCTCTAAATAGTGTGGCATTTCTATCTCTGCAAGAAACAAAGAAGGAGAACTATGCTATTTGACGGAAAAACTTTTACTTTTTAGTACATTGACTTTCTCTACCTGAAACATAATAGGAAAAACATGATCCTTAAAAATACAAATTCTTAATCCACAGATGTAAACAACCTGGCCTTGATTTAGCAATAAGCAATACCTGGGAATTAGTCTTTGTGTATATTCTGTAGGGGAAGCTTAGTCTGTTTTAGACTAGTTCTAAGATCTTTGCAAAATGTGTAAAAGACTGTCTTCGAGACTGAGAATACTGTTACTTTCCTGTGTCAGTAAAAGAAGAATATTCTGGTAATATTTCTGTTCATCAGAATTATGCAGCTTAAACAGAAATCTACAGCTAAATTTGTGCCCAGAGATATAAAACACACTACCAAAGGGCTGTGGAAAGCACCCACAGCTGTTCTTATTAGGGAGGCATAGCAGTGTCACCCGATATAGTTACAGACAGAAAGCAACTGGTTTCCACAGCCTGTGACCCCATGGCTTTGCCAGGTGGCGCTATTCAGCAGAGTGACATATCTGGTGGGTGGACTGGTCAAACACTAGTTGTCACCTGCTGTATACTGCCACGGCCCTCAGCATACAGAGAAAAAGTAGACACTTATTTTAAAATGCTTTTTCAATCAGCATTATGCCTTTATAGGGAAGTTGAGCTTTTTGGGAAAGAAAACAGTGAAGACCTTTATCAATCATAATATACACATGGAATTTTGGTACCGCTCAATATTTTCTAGGCTAATAAAATAAAAAATAGAGTATTAAAGTAACCTTTTGAATAATTTATTGTATGATATAGTTGAACATTATAGGTGAATATCAAGGATTGTATCTCAGTGACATGAACTCAGTGAATATTTCAATTCTTATCCTACAGTATAAAGACTTAAGCTCTTATCTCTTAGTTCTGTATGTGATTGGGAACATCCTATCTTGGTCCAGTTAGAAAAAGAAACAAAGAAGAAAGCAACAAGAACAAAAACATAACTTTAAGATTCCAGCTTATCCAAGTCTGAATAAAATCAATGATACAAAAGGCAACATATTTGGAGAGGATGTGGGAAAAGTGTAAACCTCATTCACTGTTGATGGCATTGCAAACTGGTGCAGCCGCTTTGCAAGTTAGAGTGGTGAATTCTAAGCAAGCAAGCAGACAAACAAACAAACAAATAAATAAATGGTGACCCTCATTCACTGTTGATGGAATTGCAAACTGGTGCAGCCACTTTGCAAGTCAGAGTGGTGAATTCTAAGCAAGCAAGTAGACAAACAAATAAGTAGATAGATAGATAGATAGATAGATAGATAGATAGATAGATAGATAGATAGATAGATAGATAGATAGATAGATAGACATTTGACCATGCAATACCATCCTTTTCCCTAGGGAGTTGACATTCTACACCACTGATTACTGTTCAGCCATGTTGTATGCACCTTTATTTTTACAAAAGCTAGGAAATGGAAATGACCTAAATGAACTTGGAGTCAAAAATTAATAATGAAAACATAGTACCCATAAACAGAATTCTAGTCAGGTGTAAAGAAAATAAGATCCTGAAATGTGGATGTGAATAGGTGGAACTAGAAAATATTGAGTGAGGTAACTCAGAGCCAGAAAGACAAACAGCACATGCTCTCTCTTGTTGCAGATACTAGATTCAAATCTTTGGGTGTGAATATGTAATCCAGGGTTACTGCAGAAACCAGAAAAATAAGGATGCTTGGGTGGCCATCTACTCTAGAGAGGGGAAGAAGAGGGTACAGGTGAAATGAAGGGGGAAATAACTTGAGGGCACCTTAATTGGGGAGGTGGAAAGAAACACGCCTTTAATCCCAGCACTCAGGAGGGAGAGCCAGGTGGATCTCTTTGAGTTCGAAGCTAGCCTGGTCTACAGAGCGAGGTCCAGGACAGGCTCCAAAACTATACAGAGAAACCTTGTCTCGAAAAACCAAAACAAAGTAATAACAAGATAAATTTTACTTGTCTAAGATGATCCAGTTAAAGTAAATATATAGAGTTCTAAGTCATTCCAAGGCAGAAATAATTTATATGGGGACTTTGTGTGCATGGAAAAGAATAATAATGTCACTCTGACAAACTTACACTTCTTTTACTCCTTCAGGATCTGAATGAAAGCATGGCAGCAGGGGGTTGGGGATTTAGCTCAGTGGCAGAGTGCTTAGCAAGCCCAAGACCCTGGGTT